TACCCCAGAGATAACAGGGGATGTGGTGCGGCAGCACTGTCTAAGGTTTCTCCCCCAGGGACAAGAGTGTGGTGACAGTGGTGGCACTAGAAGCACCCATGCAAGAGTTCTACCCCAGAGATAACGGGGGATGCAGAGTGGTGGCACTGGTGACACTGGTGGCACTGGGAACACCCACGCAAGAGTTCTACCCTGGAGATAATGAGGGATGCAGTGTGGTGGCATTGGTGCCAACAGCAGCACTGTCTAAGGTTTCTCCCCCAGGGACAAGAGTGTGGTGGCAGCAGTGGCAGTGGTGGCACTGGGAACACCTGCACAAGAGTTCTACCCTGGAGTCAATGGGGGATGCAGTGTGGTGGCACTGGTGACACTGGTGACACTGGGAACATCCACACAACAGTTCTACCCTGGAGATAATGAGGGATGCAGTGTGGTAGCACTGATGACACTGGTGACACTGGGAACAATCACCCAGGGAATTGCATCCCCAGCCCGCGGTGCAGCACTGCAGGGATGGCCACACCCCCTGTGTGTCCCCAGCTGTCCCCAGCTGTCCCCTCACCTGGCAGATGAGGTAGATGCCCAGGAACACCTGTCCCGTGGACTGCAGCGAGCGGCTGCGCGGTTTCTGCCGGTACAGCTCCCCGGCGCCACTGGCCAGGATCAGGAACCCGCCGATGATGGCGATGGTGCGCGAGTACATCCTCACCTGCGGGGTCATTGTCATTGTCACCACCATCTGGGGCTGCCCAGCAGGGTCTGAGGGACTCTGGGAGGGTCTCACCTTCAGCCAGTCGCCGTAGTGGACGTGGCCACCGACGTGGGCGGCGTAGGTGGCCACCGCCAGCTGGAGGGCGGCCCCCAGGGCGAACCAGCGCCGCTTGACCCCGAAGGACATGAAGCTGGCGCAGAGCACGGCCACGCCCATGTCCACGTACAGGTATGGCACCGGGATGTCCGGCTTCCTGTGGGAATGGCAGCTCTGGCACCCCCAGACTCCCCAAATCATCCCTCGGGTTATTCATCAGCTCATCTGGGCCCACAGAACTCCAAACCCTCCTTCAGACCCCAAAAACTGACACGGTCTCCCCTCAGCCCCAGGCAGCCCCTCTGTGGTCTCCCTCAATCTCTAACTGTCCCAGCCCCCACTGAGGGTCCTTTTCACCCCATATTTAACCAGGAACCCCCTCAGCTGCCCCATAGTCCCGGCACCACAGTCACCTCCAGGCCCTCCCAGACGCCCAAAAACCACCCTCAGACCCTCACCCTGGGCCTCCCCGCGGTYCTTATGGCCTCACACCACCCTCASGACCCCCAGAGCTCTCCCCTGGACCCTCACGGACCCTCACCCCCACCCACC